AGGGGCTCCGTTCCTCACAGCTGAGCTGTCCTGGTGGTGCCCAGTGAGGAAGGACCCCAGGATGGATGGGCACGGTGGGGGGGGGGCATGGTGAGGGGGGCAGAGGCCACTGAGCACCACCCCAGTCACTGCGTGCCCCACACCTGCTGTGAACACAGCATCCTGGCAGGTGTGACTCCCCACTGGGATTTGGGGCCCTTGGACCAGCCTCTTCCCAGAGCGGCTCAGGACCCCTGCCAAGCCTTGTCCAGGAGCACAGGTGGAGTCCTTGACCCCGCCGCCCTGAGGGTGGAGCTGGGGGCTCAGAGTCTGTCCGGTGCACCCCCCCCCTCTGGCCTCAGTCTTCCTGTTCCATAAGGGGGCAGGAGCCTCCTCCGCCCAGTCTGTAGTTGGCCCCAGTCGCCTGGGCTGGGCTGGGGGTCTGAGAACCTCCCGGTCAAGCGGCCCCGAGGTGGGCGGGCCTGCCTGCCTGGCGGTGGGCCTTAGTGATCTTTGTTTAGCATCCTGGTCCACCTCTGACGAGCCATCTGTGCTCCCTGGCCCCCCTCTTCGGGGCTCTGGTGACACTCTTTGTTGGAGGGTCCTGGGCAGAAAGCCTATGAGCGGAGGCCGTGCTGGTGTGGGGAGGGTCTTCTATCAGGCACCCTGCTGCAGGCAGAGCTGGGGCCGGCCGTGTGGGGTGGGAGGGGCCTTCGGCTGTGGCGGGTAGGACCCCAGGCCCTGACCATCCCTGTCTGCATTGGGTGGCACGGTCCCTGCCCACCTTTGGGGCACAGGCCCCAGGCCTGTAGACGTGGCCTCCAGCCACAGGTTACCGGCTCTTGCGCTGATATCCCAGGCTCCAGGCAGCAGGGTCAGGTGGGGCCCTCGGTGCCGGGGAGCCCTGCGTCCCCCACGGTTTTCCTTAAGAAGGTGCACGGGCCCTGGTGGCGCCACCGTGTCCCCAGGGACGCATTGGTGAACTGCGTACGGATCAAATCCAGCAGTGCTGGCTAGAGTGAGAGCCCACTGTGCCCCAGAGGACCAGGCCGCGTCTGCACCGGGCCTCCGGTGCCCTGATCCCCCGACGCGCATGAAACGGAGGCCGGGCAGGCAGGGCCCGTCCGCGCGGCAGAGCCCCCAGTTCTTCTGATAGACCGTCTCGCCCATCCGTCAGTGGTGCCCCCAGCGTGCCCCTCCCCTGGGGCGCTTCTGTCCGGCCTGCAGAAGGAGGGGGGCGGCACACCCCCCGACGACTCCCGTCCACACCCCCACCCAGCCAGGGCACTGTGCTCACCCAGCTCTGCCCGCTCAACCGCAGACGCCTTGAGGGCAGAACCCAGTGAGTCCTTCCTCCGCGCTGAGTCCCGCCTTGGAGCTGCGGGGAGGAGGGAGCTGTCATCTCTCCCCTGGGGGTGGCAGATGGCCCACTTAACTCAGAAAGGAAAACAGCACCATTTAGCATTAGTCCCGGGTGAAGGGGGTGAAAGGTCGAGGCAGCATCTGCCTCCGGACGCTTCTGGGGCTGCATTTCTATGGAGCGGCGCTGGGGGGTGGGGGGAGGAGCCGGCACGGAGGAAACACCGAGGGAGGCCCCAATGAGCTCCGAGCCTGGCGGCGGGCAGGCTGCAGGCCCAGCAGCTGTTTGGCGCTCCCGCCCCCCACCCCGGGTGCCGCCTCTCTGCTGCTCAGATTCTGGAGCCCCCAGCCCCACCTGACCCTCAGCAGATGCTGGCCGTGGTGGGCCAGGACAGGTCACCCCGCGAGGCTATGTGTGGGCCGGAGGGAAGGCGAGTGGAGGAGGAGACACGGGGGGACCGCCTTCCAGAGGGGAGCAAGGAAGGGGAAGCCACCACTGGCCCCCGGGTACAGGGAACTGAGTGGCATGGTGCACAGGGTGGTTCTCGTCCAGCCTCAGGGCCCCCGACGGCCCCTGGCCTGGAATCCCAAGGCAGGTGTCGGTTGCGACTTTCCCCTCCAAGCCCGGGCCCCTGTCCCCGCCAGGCACTTAGGCTGACCTGCCAGGACAGGTGTCTGGGACCGAATGGCTACCAGCCTCACGGGCCCTCCACCTTCTCAGGGAAGTGCGGCTGCCATGGGCACCTCCCCAGGAAACCCCAGCGCTGCAGCCAGGATGGGGTGCAGGTGGGGAGGGGGGCGAGGCGAGGGGGGCATGCCGGAGGCCGCCCAGAGCAGGGACAGGCCTCTGTGACGGGCTGTAAGGCCCCTCCACCCTGCCTCCCTGCCCCCCCCAAGCCGAGACCCTGCCGGCCTGGCCCGGGAGGAGCTGAGCCAGGCCCTGGCTATACCGAGCACCACCCCCCCCAGCACCTGCCTCAGCAGCAGCCCCCCCCCCCCAGAGGCTACCCCTCCCTCGCTGCCCTGCCCCTCCCCCGGCTGGGGTGCTCATGGTGGACTGCGGCCAGGCCCGGCCCTGGAGCTGGCCTGCATGGGCAGCGTGCCTTCACAGCAGCGTCCGCCAGGCCTGGGCGGGAGCAGGGAGGACAATGGGCCCCCTCAGCCGCTGCCGTCCCCCCACGGAGGAGCCTCCCTGGCTCCTGCCCCGCCCCCTGCCCACTGGGGCTGGCAGCCGCCGCTGCGTCGGCCGGGAGCAGCTGCCGCCCGCGTCCCCGGCCACAGGCGCACCTGCTCCCCCGCCGCCCTTTGTCCCGGCTGCCGACGCCTGATTTACTGGGCGCGCTTTCCCCCTCCCTGGCCCAGCGTAAGTCATGCAGCCTCCCTGGCCAGGATGCTTTTGGCCCAGGTGGATTCTCCCACAGTCCTCTGCGTCAGGCTCCGCATTCAGGACGGGCTGGGGAGGGGATTTCAGGGACACTCTGCCCCGTGCCTGGAGGCTGTAGCGTTGTGCACCCTGGTGGGCCCTTTCTGGTCCACTTGGGAATGCTGCTGAACCGGACCAGTGATGGAGGCGGAGCCCACACGGAGGAGGACGCACTGGGCAGCCTTGCGTGCATCTCCCCCAGGCCGTGGGGCAGGCCTGCCTCGTCTCGCCCACCTGGGTGGGCTTCCCACGCCTTGGAGCTGGGCGTGGACAGGGTGGGCGGGCTGCCACCCTCCACCTCGCTTTGATGACCAAGCGTCCTCTGTCCAGCTCCCACTTTCTGCCTCCTCTTCAGTAGCTGGGAAAGAAAAAGAGCCTTTTCTCCAACAGGGAGCGGTGGCCAGCTCCTGCCCGACAATGGAAGGCATTGAGAGGTGGGGGAGGTGCTACCTCCCGGGTCTCCCCTCCCCTCCAGGGCTCTGGGTTCCCAGTGCCACTCAGGACGGGACCAGGCGGCCTGTAACTGGATCCACGCTCGGTGGGGGCCACACCACGTTCCCCGGGCTCCAGGGTATGGCCCTGCCGGAGCCCGAGGTGCCAGGGTGGCAGGCGCACAGTGGGGGCGTCCTGGGGTCTGTGCCCCCAGAGAGGAGCCAGCCACACCCGTCCTCCTCCCCTTCCCTGAGTGGGCTGGGCAGGAGCCGCGGCTCAGGCCTGAGTTACCTCCCCTGCACCCCTCCCAGAAAGGCAGCTGGTTTTCTTTAAGCCAGTTGGTTTGGGACTTTTTGGCTTCAGGTGACAGATGGTGGTCCGGAGTGGCCATTTTGCGTCCTCCCCGCCCGCCCTGCCCAAGCCACAGCCTCAGATGAAAGCCCCGGCTTCTCACGGACGCCCCCCTCCCCAACCCCAGGGTGGAGGCTGCCCCCCACCCCCCGTGCAGCTTTGGGCAGGCGGGGAGGCAGGGGGCCCCGGCGGGCTGGCATTTGTCAGGGGCGAGGGGTCCCGGAGTGAAGGCCTGAACCCCACGGAGCATCCCTTCCTGGGAGGTCTTGGGAAGGTGGGGTGGTCGGAGCCCAGGAGGGCCCTCTCTTCCCCCAGGGTCCCCGAGGCTTCTGGCTGCCCAGCGGGGGGGAGGAGGCCCCCGCCCACCGGGGCAGGTGGGTGGGGGTGGCTGCGGGCCCAGCAGGGCCGCCTTCCCAGGCCGCTGCCTGCTGCGTTCCACCCCAGAGGCTCTGCTGCTGGGAAGAGGGAGGTCTGGCTGGTCCCAGAGCTTCTCCTGGGCTTTCCCTCGAGTGCAAGGCCATGAGGTGACCCTGGGGGGCAGTGTACCGCCCCGCCTCGAGAAGCTGAGGCAACAGGTGGCCAAGGGCGGCCCCAGGGCAGGGGTAGCAGGTGCTGAGCCCTTCCCAGCAGTGGGCAGCGCCCAGGATCAGGCCTGAGGGCAGGGGAGGCGGGGCACCCCCCACTCCTGACTCGCCTGCCGCCGTCTCAGTCCGGGGCAGGGCCTGCCAGAGCGGCGGTCCTCCTGGCCCCTGCTTTCTCCTGCTGTGCAGTGGGCTGGGGTTCCTTTGTGAAGCCTTCACCCCCAAAAGGGAGACTCCATGTCCGGGCACCGTGCGTGGGTGAGGGTGGAGCGCTGAGCAGCGCAGTCCTGTCGCATCAGACTCCCGACAAAGAATTCCACATCGGAGACTACACGGGGAGCCCGGCCACGTGGTGTCTGCACTGCTTTCCCTGTTTGCTGTTGTATTCATACTGAAAGAAGAAGAATCTGTGAACTCTTTTATTACCCAAATAACGCACACTCGTTACAGAAAAGCTGGCAAGAAAGAGTAGGCAGGTACCCGAAACGAAAGGTTTCACAGAACACCATTCCCTTCCACGGAGAACGGCTGGGTCTGGCCCGCGTGGCCCCTTCTCGGTGGCTCGTGGGTGCAGACAGACGCCTCCATGGCTTCTGAAGCTGATGCTGGGGCCCGCCAAACACTCTGCTCCAATTAACATAATCACTGTTTTTATGGACGTGAAATTCCCTTGATGTAAAAGTAACCACTTTAAAGAGGAGAGCTCAGAGGCACTCGGCACCCTGGTGATATTGGGCAACGACCCTCACTCTGGTCCCAGAACCTCCCCGAGCTCTTTGAGGGGGCCACTGCCTGGGAGGGGACCCCCATCGATGGCAGGGCTGGTGGCGGGCTGGCTGGGGAGCGGGCGCTCACCACCCTGGTGTCTGCCACAGCTGCAGCGGGGCATTCGCGGGCCAGCAATGCCAGGCCCCCAACCCCTGCCTCAGCGCCCCCTGCAAGAACGGCGGGACATGCCACACAGTGGAGCGAGATGGCCTGGTGGATTACACCTGCAGCTGCCGCCTGGGCTTCTCGGGGCCGCTCTGCCTGACACCCCGAGACCACGCCTGCCTCGCCAGCCCCTGCCTCAACGGCGGCACCTGTGACCTGCTCACGCTGGCCGAGTACAAGTGTATCTGCCCTCCAGGCTGGTCAGGTGAGGACCCTGGCGAGGGGCGGGATGGGGTGACTGGTGCCGGGCCCCCGTCCGCGTGGCCATGGAGGCTTCTGGACTGGGCTCGGCCGTGGGGGTCAGCGATCCAGAAATTGCCAAGAGTCCCCACCCGGGGATCCCCATGCCGCTTTCCAGCTCTGGAGGTGTCAGTTTCCGGCTCGAGGGCACCCCCTTCCGCAGCCTCTGTGAGAAAAGGGGAGACTCCCCCCCCCACAGGAGCCGTGGCGTCCCTGCTGGCTCAGGAGGGGTGCACTCTGGGTCAGCTCCCGAGGGGCCCCGGCCTTCTGTGCCGGCCGCGGTGTTCACTCAGCCCGTAAGCGGTCGGGGTCCCCGGGAGGTGAGGAGCTGATGCCACTGGGCCCGTGCCCGGCTCACCCCTCGTCCGGGTCTGGACACTGCTCCCGGCTCGCAGGAACCAGGGAAGCCGACTGACCACCACCCCCCGCCTTCCCCACCAGGGAAGACATGCCAGCAGGCTGACCCCTGCGCCTCGAACCCCTGTGCCAACGGAGGCCAGTGCCTGCCCTTCGAGGCGTCGTATATCTGCCACTGCCCAGCCGGCTTCCACGGCCCCACGTGCCGGCAGGACGTCAATGAGTGCAGCCAGAGCCCCGGGCTCTGCCACCACGGCGGCACCTGCCTCAACGAGGTCGGCTCCTACCGCTGCGTCTGCCGCCCCACCCACACCGGCCCCCACTGCGAGCTGCCCCACGTGCCCTGCAGCCCCTCCCCCTGCCAGAACGGGGGCACCTGCCGCCCCACGGGGGACACCACCCACGAGTGTGCCTGCCTGCCAGGTACTGCCCGCCGGAAGCGTGCGGGGGGGCGGGGAGCCGGGCAGGCTAGGACTGGGGGCGTCCCCTGAGCCCGGGTGGTTGGAGTGCAGCCCTGGGGCTGGTGCAGGGCTGGCTCTGGGACGGGGGCACCCACCCACCACGTGCCGGCCCGGGACGGGTCTGCTGTGACCCCCGAGTGCTCCTCCCCTGTGCCGGGGACCCTGCCGCCCCCAGGGAGGGCCTGAGCATTCCGTCCGCTCCGAGGTCACTCTGCTCTCGCCCCCTGCTCTGAGTCTCCCGGGCCGTGGACGCCGGCCTCCTTCAGGCCTCTCGGGAGGGCCCTTATCCCGAGGTCCCCGGGACCACGTGCACGCTGCAGAACTCTCCCCCGCTACAGGGAGCACCCTGGCTAGTGCCGCCTGCGGGGCTTCCCCTGGTTCCTGGAGGTGGGGCCGGGGCGGGGCCGGGCCTCACGCGTGCCCCCTCCCCCAGTGGTGGCCCTTTCTCCTGGCTTCCTCTGTCACCCACTGCCGGGGCAGGAGTGACAGGTGGGCCCCGCCCTCCCCGTCCCCCCAGCAGCTCCGCCGTTCCTGTTGCGTGTCCCAGACTTTCCACTGTAGTCTTCCTCTGAGTTGGTTTTGCTGCTGCTGATCTAAAAATACTAATAATGACGAAGAGGTTAGAAAACCTCCAGTCTGTCACTTGCACAGGGCGGAGTTAGGCAGGAACTGGGAGGGGAGGGTGTTTTGCGGTGGGGCACTGAGGAGGTAGGTTTGGTGGGGTTTGGGTGCCGGAGAGGGGAGGGCCCAGGGTCCGGCTGATCCAGGACTGATCCAGAGGTCGCCCCGGCCCCCACACGGCCCTTGGCCCAGCCCGGCCCTCGCAAAGAGGAAGTGCTCTTCCCGCCCGCGAGCCCTGGGCCTGTCGCCTCTGCGTGCAGACGCCAGGCGTGTGCATTTCCGGTCCCTGGTGCTCCCCTCGCCACCTGCCCGCCCCAGCACTACCCGCTGCCCAGCTGGGCTGCGTGGCTGTTTCGGAGTCTGGGTTCAGATGCCTTCCGGGGGGAGCCGCTGTGGGACCCCGACCCTGTGACCTTGCATCTGACCCCATGGGTCAGGAGGGGCTGTGGTGCGGGCTTGGGGGGGCGGTGGGCGGCGTGGGGGCCTGGCGGAGGGGGCCGCAGACGTGGAGCAGGTGGGCTGAGGCCGGGCAGAGGTGGCACTTTAGGCCCGCCGCACGCAGGAGGGAATGGAGTGTGGGCGCCGGGCTCCAGTGAGGGGGGGCCTCCGAGGGAGGGGCAGGAGGGGGTCCAAAGACACCCTGGGAGGGGCATTAATTAGTAACCGGCTGCAGATTTGGCTATTGCCAGACGCACCTTTCTGGGTTGATTATTGAACCAGCGGGAGTCAAACGGATTAATAGCTAACTGGATGTGGAGGTGGTACCGTGGAGGTTGGCCTGGCTGGGAGGGGCTGGGGAGCCCCCACCCCGCCCGCACCTCTGCTGCTGGGAAGTGGGGGGTGCCGCACCCACACACGCCCCCACACCCCTGACTGCCTGCCAGGGTCCCTGCATGGAGACCGGCCCAGCGCTGCCCCTGTCAGATGGGGCACCCACGGCCACACAGGGGGTTGTGCAGAGAACGCCGAGCGCAGGGCTGGGCCCGCCGGCAGTGCCCAGGCACAGAGGCCACAGCACAGACATCTTCTCCGACAACCCTGGGGAGCCTATGATCGTGGGTCTCCATCTGTTCAGCTGGCCCTTTACAAAACGATTGCTTAGGAATGTGCTGACCGTGGGCTCTGGAGTGTGGAACCCAGTCACAGGAGTAAGGAGAGCAGGGTGTGGGGCAGGGACACCGAGGGCTCCAAGGCGGTGGGCATCACAGGGCAGACCGTGGAGAGCAGCTCTCCGCCCAGAGCAGGGTGTCCTGGGTCGAGCCAGGAAGGTGCCGGCGCCCAGTGCAAGTGTGACTGGACGGGTGAGGGCCCAGCCCCGCGAGGACGCCTGACCGGGCTGCTGGCCCCTGCTGCAGGCTTCACTGGCCAGAACTGCGAGGAAAACATTGATGACTGTCCGGGGAACAACTGCAAGAACGGAGGCGCCTGTGTGGACGGCGTGAACACCTACAACTGCCGCTGCCCCCCGGAGTGGACAGGTGCATACACCGGGCAGCCCGGGTGGGCACCTCTGCCGTTGGAGTCTGCCCCTGTGAGGGGCAGGCAGGAGGGAGCTGAGATCTGAGACGGGAAGGATGCTGTGACCTGTGGCTGACCCGCCCCCTGCCAGGGTCTGAGGCTCCCCCCCCAACCCCCTGGAGCAGCACAGACGCAGGTGGCACCAGTCGGTCTGTGTGGGCCATTTGGAGCCTGGCCCCGGGCTGGCCTGCCACAATCAGGTCCCCACAGTGAGCCCAGCTTGTTGGCCAGGACACAGGGATGCTGGCCAGTAGGATGCGGGCTCTGCCCACAGGTGAGCATGGACCCCAGTGCACCTGTGCCCGCGGAGTAGCCAGGCAAGAGCCCCCCGGTGCCAGGGGCGCAGGGGAAAGGCTGACTCTGGCTGGCGGGGGTGGAGGAAGTCAGGAAGACTTCTGGTGGAGGTGAGGGTCTAGGTTTGGCGGAGGGGGCTGGAGGCACCGCCTGGCCCGACCATCCCGGCCCCTCGCAGGTCAGTACTGCACGGAGGACGTGGACGAGTGCCAGCTCATGCCCAACGCCTGCCAGAATGGCGGGACCTGCCACAACACCCACGGCGACTACAATTGCGTGTGCGTCAACGGCTGGACGGGTGAGGACTGCAGCGAGAACATTGATGACTGCGCCAGCGCCTCCTGCTTCCAGGGCGCCACCTGCCACGACCGTGTGGCCTCCTTCTACTGCGAGTGTCCCCACGGCCGTACGGGTGAGCGCCCAGCCCACCACCAGGCAGAGGGCCCTTGGGGGTCAGGCCTGGGTGGGGGGCCTCGCACCACAGCTTGTGGGGCCCGTAAGGGGGGAACCCCAGAAGGGGCCTCCTGGAGTGAAGCGGGCAGTCGTGAGCCTCCTGGAGTAGGGCCCTCCTCAGGGCCCTGGCTGCGTCACGGTGTGGGGACGGGCCTGGGGAGCCAGGTGGGGGTGGGCACCAGCTGTGGGCAGTCCCCGTCCCCAGCCGGGGGAGAGTGGGGACAGTGCCTCCGCTGACCCCACGGCCGTGCCCAGGTCTGCTGTGCCACCTGAATGACGCCTGCATCAGCAACCCCTGCAACGAGGGCTCCAACTGCGACACCAACCCCGTCAACGGCAAGGCCATCTGCACCTGCCCCTCGGGGTACACGGGGCCGGCCTGCAGCCAGGATGTGGACGAGTGCTCGCTAGGTACGGGCAGCCAGGGTGCTGGGGAACCTGCTGGAAATAGTCTGATGCGGGGAGGCGGGTCTGATGGGGGAGGCGGGCACACCCCCGACTATTCCAGAAGCCAGGGTTCCCAGAGCAGCCCCTTACCCATGCCGCGTCTACCCCCACCCCCCACCGCCAGGCGCCAACCCCTGTGAGCACGCGGGCAAGTGCATCAACACGCTGGGCTCGTTCGAGTGCCAGTGTCTGCAGGGCTACACCGGCCCGCGCTGCGAGATCGACGTCAACGAGTGTGTGTCGAACCCGTGTCAGAACGATGCCACCTGCCTGGACCAGATCGGGGAGTTCCAGTGTATCTGCATGCCCGGTAGGCGGCCAGCCGCCCGCCCGACCCTGGGGATGGGGAAGCCGTGTTGCCCGCCCAGGCCACAGCCCCTCAACGGTTATCTGGGGAGATTTGAGCTAGGTCTCTGGGGTGCGGCGGAGAGCAGGCCAGTGCTGGCAGCTGGGAGCAAGTGTGGAGGGGACGGGGCATTGCCAACCACCCCGCTCCCACCAGGCTACGAGGGCGTGCACTGCGAGGTGAACACGGACGAGTGCGCCAGCAGCCCCTGCCTGCAGAACGGCCGCTGCCTGGACAAGATCAATGAGTTCGTGTGCGAGTGCCCCACGGGTGAGACCAGGCCCCGCCCCTGTGTCGAGGCAGGGTCAGGCTCCCCCAGGGCGGGAAGGGGGCGTGAGAGCCTCACCTCCCGAGTGTGGGGAGGCGGGGTGCGTTGGTTTTCAGCCCCCAGCACACAAGGCTGGGCCGGGCAGGGTCCTGGCCCCCACCTCGCTCAGGAGTCTGGGGCCCAGAGACCCTCCTTCCTGCTGTCGTTTCCCGGCAGGAGGAGGGCCAGCCTGCCCTGCCCACCTGCCTCTGCCAGCGGCAGTGGACGTGATGGCCGGGAGGGCCTATGGAGCCTGTGGGGGCCCCGAGTCTATTGCAGGGAAGGGCTGGGGGATACCAGGCCAGGGGAGGTGTTGGGGGTCAGAGCCCTGGACCTCCTGAGATGCAAATCAAGTGTCCCAGATGCCGAGGCGGGAACCGCATTCTCAGCCTAGCCCGGCTGTAGCCATGGCAACCGTCCGTCTTGGGCTGAGCCCCCTCTGAGGGAGCAGGGCAGGAGGGCTAGGACCCCAGGGGTGGGCGCTGAAAGAGGGCGAGGAAAGCATACGGGCGTTTGCCCAGCCCTGGCCAAAGCACTCTTGGGGGGCCCTCCCAGGCGCCCCCCGCCCCCCATCCTTGGCCAGCCAGGGCTTGGCTGTGGTGCTGTTGTGCCCCTGGCGTCTGACCGCCGTCCCCTCCCCGGCCACAGGCTTCACCGGGCACTTATGCCAGTATGACGTGGACGAGTGTGCGAGCACGCCCTGCAAGAACGGCGCTAAGTGCCTGGATGGGCCCAACACCTACACCTGTGTGTGCACAGAAGGTGCGGGGCCTCGAGCCCAGGCAGAGCGGAGGGGCAGAAGCAGGCGGGTGGGGTCCAGGGAAGCGGGGGTGGTCGGAGGCTGAGGCTGGGAAGGTGACCCCTCAGTGTGGAGCCAGGGGCCAAGAGCGGGGTGAGTCTCGGATCCCAGGCAGTTGGGTGGGGGCTGCTCCAGACATCCCCAGGCTTCCCCGGCGGGAACAAGAGGACCCTGGGTCTGGTTGCTGGCGTCCTGGACAGCCTGGTAACCCAGGGAGCGGCCCCTTGTTCCTGCAGGCTACACGGGGCCCCACTGCGAGGTGGACATCGACGAGTGTGACCCCGACCCTTGCCACTACGGGTCCTGCAAGGATGGCGTGGCCACCTTCACCTGCCTGTGCCAGCCGGGCTACACGGGTCACCACTGCGAGGCCAACATCAACGAGTGCCACAGCCAGCCCTGCCGCCACGGGGGCACCTGCCAGGACCGCGACAACTCCTACCTCTGCTTCTGCCTCAAGGGGACCACAGGTGCCTGGCCGCGGGCTGATGTGGGGGGGGGCAGTGGAGCTGCCGATGAGGGAGCAGGAGCGCGTGAACACCTCTGGTCTCCCGCCCCCAGGACCCAACTGCGAGATCAACCTGGACGACTGCGCGAGCAACCCCTGCGACTCCGGCACGTGTCTGGACAAGATTGACGGCTACGAGTGTGCGTGTGAGCCGGGCTACACAGGTGAGCTGCCCAGGATGCGGGGGCCCGCAGGGCTCTGCCCTCCTGCCCGCGTCAGGGCCTTGGTTCCGGGGCTGAAGCTGCGCTCGCAGGTCATGTTTTCAGGACTGTGAGGGCCCAGCTATCGGGTCAGAAGCTCTGGAAGGACTGGGGAGGGGGGTGTCTGGCTGACGCCGGGATGGACATCCTTGAGCCTGGCGTGCCAGGCGAGAGCCAGCCCGGCAGGCCCGCAGTGGAGCCAGGCTCCCGCTGCACGTGCTGCCCTCTGCCCTGAGTGTGTTCAGCTTGGGCCCTGGGCTGGGTCCGGGGAGCAGAGCTCGTGTCAGTGAGAGTCTGTACCTCGGGAGGGCCTGAGATGGAGCCGGGGGCAGGGGGCAGCGGGGCGGGGCTCACGGAGAGGGAGACTGAGGCTCCGAGGGTGGGACCCCGACCCCTCTCCCACTCCTGGTGTCTGAGCTGCCGGGCCGCCCGCAGGGAGCATGTGTAACATCAACATTGATGAGTGCGCAGACAGCCCCTGCCACAACGGGGGCACCTGCGAGGACGGCATCAACGGCTTCACCTGCCGCTGCCCCGAGGGCTACCACGACCCCACCTGCCTGTCCGAGGTCAACGAGTGCAGCAGCAATCCCTGCATCCACGGGGCCTGCCGCGACAGCCTCAACGGGTGCGTCCTCGGAGCCCCGGATGGGGGCGGGGTTAGGGGGTAGCCAGCAGGTCCTGGGCAGCGCGGGTGGGTGCTCCCCCAGGACGGGTCTGCCGTGGGAGCCCTGAAGGGTGCCGTGCGCGGGCGCTCGCTCGGCTCCTGGTCTGAGCCCAGTGCTGCCCTCAGCTCCAAGTGCGCCTGGGGAACGCGTCTGTGCCGAGGCAGCAGACCAGAGGTGAAACCTCTGAGATCTGTGAGAGTGTAACGGCAGTCTTGGGTCGTGTCCGAGCCCCTTTGGGCCACAGCTCAGTCGGTAAAGAATCTGCCTGCAATGCAGGAGACCCAGGTTTGATTCCTGGGTCGGGAAGATCCCCTGGAGAAGGAAATGGCAATCCACTCCAGGATTCTTGCCTGGGAAATCCCACAGATGGAGGAGCCTGGCGGACTACAGTCCATGGGTCTGCGAGAGTCGGACATGACTTAGCGACTAAACCACCACTGAGCTTCCGTAAGGAGGCTGCTAAGGTCATCCGAGGCTGAGGCTGGGGGCCGGGGCCTTCAGTCCCACCCTGACCGCCGAGGCTGGGAGAGGGGCTGCAAGGCAAGTTAATCACCAACGGCCAGTGATTTATTCAGTCACGCCTGTGTGAGGAAACCTCCATAAAAAGGCCAAGTGCGGTAGTTCAGAGAGCTTCCGGGTTGGAGAACAGGTGCTGGGATGGGGCGGGGACCAGCTCTGAACCTTTCCCATCCCTGGCCCCGTATGTCTCTTCCATTGGGCTGTTCCAAGTTTCCCTGCTTATAGTAAACCATTTATCTAGTAAGTCAAACAGTGTTTCTGAGTTTCGTGAGCCATTTCTGCAAATTTCAAAGGAAGAGGTCTGGTTCCTGGCTGTTTGGTCAGAAGTAGAGGTGACAACTTGGGGCTTGGGGTTAGTGTCTGGCCTGGGGCCAGTCTGGTGGGCCCCAGCCCTCGCTGGGGGGTGTGGGGGCACTCTGCGCTGACTCCAGACAGTGCCAGGACCGGGTTGCAGGACACCCCGCTGGTGTGGGAACCCCACCCATATATGTGGTGCCAGAATATTAGAGTGTAGAGAGGCCGACTTTTAGTTTCTGACACCCACTACGTGCCTGGCATTGGCTCTGTCTAAATGGAGTGATGGACATGGATGGGGTGATGGACATGGCAGGGACCACATGCCCTCATTTTGCACAGAGAGTGTAAGCAGCCTGTTGAGGGTCACGCAGCGAGTGAACAGTGGATGGTCTCCTGACCACTGCTCTGAACTGGGCACTGACCCTAACCCTTACCACTGTCTTAGTCAAGACGGGCCATTTAAAGTCGTTTAAAGGACTCCAAGGGTCAGAGTGGACCAGTGTCTCCATCTAATCACGTCGTAGGACGGTGGCAGAGTCTGGGGTGCTCCCAGCCTAGGCCCCGCCCTCTCTGGCCACACCTGAGCCGCTGTGTGGTCGCCTCTGCAGGTACAAGTGTGACTGTGACCCCGGGTGGAGCGGGGCCAACTGTGATGTCAACAACGACGAGTGTGAGTCGAACCCCTGCATCAACGGGGGCACCTGCAAGGACATGACCAGCGGCTACGTATGCGCCTGCCGGGAGGGCTTCAGTGGTGAGTGGGACGGGGGGCTCCTGGTCCCAGAGCAGGCCCTGGGGGCAGCGCGGAGCCCGGACACAGGTCAGCGGTTGAGACCCCCGGTGGCTCCTGGACCCACTGGTGTGGGCTCCAAGGCCCCAGGCTCAGAGCAGGGCTTTTCCTCCACACCAGGCAGAACTTGGCCACAGCACCTGGGGTGACGGCCACACTGACTGCCTTTCCTCTCTCCAGGCCCCAACTGCCAGACCAACATCAATGAGTGCGCATCCAACCCGTGTCTCAACCAGGGCACGTGTATCGATGATGTGGCAGGGTACAAATGCAACTGCCTCTTGCCCTACACAGGTATGGGCGGGGCCTGGGTGTGGGCGGGGCCTGGAGGGCAGGGGCGGGGCCTGGGTGTGGGGCCTCTGCAGGTAGTGCAGGTGGCTGAGGTGCAAGGTGGCCTTCCTGGGCTGGTCTTGTCTGCATCCCTCTGCCGGCATCCCAGTACAGAGGCCCTGCTCAGTACTCCGAGCCTCAGGCCTGGCTGTGTTAGGGCCTCGCCCTGCAGGTGTCTTTGCTCACAAAGTAACCAGGTGCCTGGGAAAAGTTTGAGCACAACTAAGTCCCTACTTGGGGGACCTGCCCGGGAGGTGGCCCCCTTGGCGGCGGAGCTGGGCCTGGGCTGTCAGCCTCCCCTCCTGCTGTTCAGGCTGCCCTCCCCATCGCTAGCCAGGCCTGAGGGAGTCCTTTGATGGCGGGCCCTCTTTGTGTGGGTAAACAAGGAACCCTGTGTTCCCGCTGAGAGTGGCGGGAGACTGGTCCCTGGAGTCTCAGCTGCCGCCATTGGCCCGGCCGGGGGAGGTGGGATGTGGGTCCCCTCCTAAGGAGAGATTTGCCAAGTGTTAAAAAATGGAAGTCACGACCGCTCAGGCCACCAGGCCCCCTGGGGATGGGGCAGGGGGTGCTGCCGTTAGGGACGGTCCTGAGAGGCCCCCATCGGCAGGGGCGGGGCCCCTGACTGTGGTTCTCACGACATTGGCGGCCTGTGGCCCGAGCAGTGTTTTCTTTGACCGAAGCTGGGGACCTGGACTTTCTCTCCTCCGCCGGTTAGGAAACGCCCCCAGCCCCGGTGGCCGCCCAGGGCGCACCCGGGTCCCTTTCGGACGCGCTGCCATCGGGGCTGGCGGCTGGCGGGGAGGAGCCGGCCTGTGCTGACCCGCTTCCCGTCCGCCTGCTTCCTGCTTCCCGCTGCACAATTGTCGGAAACCCTGGCGAATTTCCTGCCGGCTGGGGTCACTGTGGAAACCGATAGAATGAAAGGCCCTGGACGGTCACCCCCGCAGGCTGGGGAGATAATGGGCGGCCGGGAAGATAACGCTTCCTCGCGGGCTCGGGACACGGCCCCGTGGGCCGTAAACAGGAAACCCCGCGTTGGGCTCTCAGGGAGGAGAAATCACCCGGTGTGCCGGGGTCCAGGCAGACTCCCGCTCCCACCCGGGGTCCTAACGCCACATCTGGCGCCCCCCTGATAAGCAGCCACGCTGAGGGCTGAGGCTGGCACATTCTCTCCAGTCACAGCCTTTGTTCAGGGGCCTCCCAAGATGGCACTCGCCGCCCGAGGCACCGAACCCCTGAATCAGCTCCCAGGTGCCGGCTCAGTGCAGGGCCCTTTGCCACTAGCAGGGCATGAGGCTGGGAGCGGGTCCAGGGCCCCTGTGACGTTGTGTGGGTGGGGGGGGGGGTGTCAGGCCCAGCCCAGCCCTTGCTCCTGGCACTATCGGGAGGTGAGGCCCAGGCCGTTCCCCCAGCCTGTGGGGGCCCAAGGGTTCCCCTGGTTCACGTTCGGGTGCTGACTCAGCCAGGTGCTCACACAGCCAAGGTCCCAGTGCCGCGCAGTATGTACCCCCCTGCCCCTCACGCAGGGCAACCAAATGTGCTTTGACGTTAGATCCACCCGTTGACGGTGCCTGCCGTGGCCTCTGTCAGGACGTGCCCGGGGCATTGACCTCCGGCCAGGGCTCCCGGGGCGCTCACCGTCCTGCCTCTCCCTCCCAGGGGCCACGTGTGAGGTGGTGCTGGCCCCGTGTGCCCCCGGGCCCTGCAGAAACGGCGGCGAGTGTCGGGAGTCAGAGGATTACGAGAGCTTCTCCTGCGCCTGCCCCGCAGGCTGGCAGGGTGAGTCCAGGGGGCAGGAGGACGGGGGTGGGGGGAGGCTTGGAGAGGCTCGGGGGCCACGGGCTGGCAGGGTGAGCCCAGGGGGTGGGGGGACGGGGTGGGGGAGGCTTTGGGACTTTAGGCATCTCTTATTAGTGAGCCCCCATCGTTGGGGGATGAGCCAGTGGGCTGCAGGGCCCTCCCAGGCTTGAAGGTCTGTCTCCCGCTTGGCTCCAAGGCCGGGGGGGCAGCCCTTTGGAGAGCCCCTTCTTCTCCTGACACCCCCAGAGGGTCGTCCTGTGGCGGCGGAGGGCCTTCTCTGGGGGCGGGCAGGAGGGGGCCCGTGGGCACCGGCTGAGCCAGCGGCTGCCCCCCCCCCCCCCCGCTCCAGGGCAGACCTGTGAGATTGACATCAATGAGTGCGTGAAGAGCCCGTGCCACGCGGGCGCCTCCTGCCAGAACACCAACGGCGGCTACCGCTGCCACTGCCAGGCGGGCTACACGGGGCGCAACTGCGAGACCGACATCGACGACTGCCGGCCCAGTGAGTGGCTGGCCGGCCCTGCCCGCCTCCGAGACAGCCAGACCCGTGTCCCCAGGCGGGCACGGGGCCGGGAGCGTGCCGGGGTCACGTGGGAGGGCGGGCAGGGCAGTACCTGGGTGCAGGCTTGGCTCTGGCAGCCCTCTCGATCCAGCTGGACCTCTCAGAGGGGCACCCGGTTGGAGGCTGGAGGAAGTGCTAGAGCGGGGCTGGGTGGCTGTTGTCAACCAGCAAGGTGGTCGCAGGTGGTTACAGGGGCTCTGGTCCCAGGCTGGTGGGCCCCCAACTCGTCCATCCTAGCATCTCCCAGCCAGACTCCCGGGCTTCTCTCCCTGGGGCCGCAGCTGCCCCTTCCAGCGTGGCTCTTAACCTAGTTCTTGTCCTGACCCCTGAGGAATGGGGCTCACACAACCTGGGGTCCAAGAGAGGCCGAGCACCTCATCTGGCATTGCCAGCAGGCAGGGAAGGCTGTGGCCACGGCCTGTGCGGGTCTCACTGTTAAGCCTGCCCGCCCCTATGGCCTGGGGACCGGGAGCTCGTGGGGCCATGTAGACCCCAAGCTCCTGATGCGGTCTGCTGGATTGGGGAACACCCCAGGGGCAGTGCCAGGAGCCCCCAGCTGTGGTCGCCCTGGCAGAGGGGTGGTGCCCAGCTCTCAGGCCTGCCCTCCGGTCCCCTTGCAGACCCGTGCCATAACGGGGGCTCCTGCACAGACGGCATCAACACGGCCTTCTGCGACTGCCTGCCCGGCTTCCAGGGCGCCTTCTGCGAGGAGGACATCAACGAGTGTGCCAGCAACCCCTGCCGCAACGGCGCCAACTGCACCGACTGCGTGGACAGCTACACCTGTACCTGCCCCACGGGCTTCAGCGGCATCCACTGCGAGAACAACACACCCGACTGCACGGAGAGGTACGAGGGCGCCGCAGGCGCGGGGCGGCAGGCCGGCTCTGGGGCCACGCACGGCGCCGGCAGATCTGTGTCCCCGGCAGGGGCCCGCCTGGGGTGGGTGCCCGGGGCCAGTGAGGCACGGTTCCTCCTGAAAGGGCAGTTGTCCATCCATCCGTATGGCTTAGAAGCAGGAACCCTGTGGTTTATCCTGAGGAACTGCTGTTCCTCCATCAGCCGGGGACCTCGTCACTGGCCTGTGTCTTTATTTGCCTTGGCTGCCAGGAAGCTCGGCATGGAATGTCACACTTGTCCCTGGTTTCTAGCACGTATCTCCCATGCCGTCTGGTTTCTGCTCATTTTTGTCTTGAGTGTGACATACCTGTGTGCGATATGAAGCTCCTCTCAGCACGAGTTCTAAAGAAGGCAGAGGAAGGAGTGTGGTGTGGTGTGAGGGTCTGGGGTCCCCTGGGACTCCTATTGGCCTCCCCAAGGTCAGCCAGGCAGTTGCCGGCCCATCCTGGTGCCCAGACCCGTGTGGCCACCCTGATTGGCGGTGAGGGTGCCGGCATGGACGTACTTGCTTGGTCAGGGTCCTGCCCGCAACTCACCACCCCCTTGCTGCCTGCCCACCTCCAGCTCCTGCTTCAACGGCGGTACCTGCGTGGACGGCATCAACTCCTTCACCTGCCTGTGTCCCCCCGGCTTCACGGGCAGTTACTGCCAGCATGATGTCAACGAGTGTGACTCTCGGCCCTGCCTGCACGGCGGCACCTGCCACGACAGCTATGGCACCTACAAGTGCACCTGCCCGCAGGGCTACACGGGTCTCAACTGCCAGGTGAGGGCGGCCCCCTCGCCTGGGCTCCCGCTGGCTCTGCCACCCTGGGGAGCCGAGGAGGGGGCAGCTAAGCAGGCAGGGGTGGTGAGCAGGGCGGCTTCCAGCTCAGGCAGCAGAGGCTTACGGAGCAAGAAGGACCAGCTGATGCAGGGGAAGGCGGCTGAACGCCAGTGTTTTCATGAAGAATATGTCAAAGTATCAAAGGTTTATCTTCTTTAAAGATGTTCACACACAAAACACCAGTTAGAAGAGAGCTGCTTCCTTCTTAAGGAAAATCTTCCTTCAAGGAAAGGCAGCCTGTTGTCTGGATTCACCACCAGGGGCCCAGAGCAAGAGAGGGGCCCCCACAGCTCCCGGTTGCTCCTGAGCAGGGGGCGCCCCATGGGCCCCGGTGTCCATTTCTGTGGATTGGGAGGGTGGGTGTCACGGGCCACCTTGGGCATGAGGGTCTCTGGCTCCCGTGGGTGTCCCCCGCCGGGTGGGCTGGGCCCGTGGGAGCCGGCGGGTGGGGCGTGAGCAAGGCTGCCCCCTCGCCCCCAGACCCTTGTGCGCTGGTGCGACTCCTCCCCCTGCAAGAACGACGGCCGGTGCTGGCAGACCAACGCGATGTATCGTTGCGAGTGCCACAGCGGCTGGACTGGTCTCTACTGCGACGTGCCCAGCGTCTCCTGTGAGGTGGCCGCGCAGCAGCAAGGTAACCTGCCCGGGCTCCTCTGTGCCCACCGGGCGTCCGAACCCTGAGGTCAGGGGGTGTGCTGCCCGAGGCAGCCCCTGGGGAAGGGAGCCGGGGCCTCATGCTCCGCCCGCCGCGCCCCCCGCAGGCATCAACGTGACCCACTTGTGCCGGAACGGGGGCCTCTGCATGAACGCGGGCAACACACACCACTGCCACTGCCAGGCTGGCTACACGGGCAGCTACTGCGAGGAGCAGGTGGACGAGTGCTCGCCCAGCCCCTGCCGGAACGGGGCCACCTGCACCGACTACCCTGGCGGCTACTCCTGTGAGGTGGGCGCCCGTCCCTGGGGCGGCGGGGGTGTGTCTGGCCTGAGTGCCACCGAGGGCCAGGCCCTGGGCTGGGAGCCGGTGCGGCAGGGAAGACGGGATCCATAGACGCGCGAGGCGTTCAGTCCCATCAGGGGAGGGCTGGGTAATCAGGAAAGACTGCCTGGAGGAGCTGTCTTCTGGGGGCACCTGGAAGAGGAAGACCCTGAGAAGTAGGGCAGGGTCTCCCCTCCCCCAGATTCACCCACCTCTACACCAACTCCCACCTTGGGCAGCGAACCGTAGCTTACCAGGGCCCTTACCAGGGTCTCCATCTGGGTCCTTCTGGTAGGAGGGCTTTGTGAGGCAAGAGGGCAGCTCACGGGGCCCCGTCGGCCCTCACAGGGTAGAGGGCCACACCCCGGCTGCCCGCTGAGCCTCAGGCCCACGCCTCGCTGTCCCCCTGCAGTGTGTGGCCGGCTACCACGGGGTGAACTGCTCCGAGGAGGTGAATGAGTGCCTGTCCCAGCCCTGCCGGAACGGCGGCACCTGCATCGACCTCACCAACACCTACAAGTGTTCCTGCCCCCGTGGCACGCAGGGTAGGCTCGGCCACACCTGGGGAGGGGGCCCGGGGGTCCGGTTGACAGCGTCCACCTCCTGGGCGTCTGACCCCCGGCCAGGGTGGGGGCGGGGCACACCTGCGGGAGGCGTGGGGCTCGAGAGCGGCCACGTGGGGTCTGATGGTGCCCGGCCTGCAGGCGTGCACTGCGAGATCAACGTGGATGACTGCAACCCCCCCATCGACCCCGTGTCCCGGGGCCCCAAGTGCTTTAACAACGGCACCTGCGTGGACCAGGTGGGCGGCTACAGCTGCACCTGCCCGCCTGGCTTCGTGGGTGAGCGCTGCGAGGGTGACGTCAACGAGTGCCTGTCCAACCCCTGCGACGCCCGCGGCACCCAGAACTGCGTGCAGCGCGTCAATGCCTTCCACTGCGAGTGCCGCGCCGGCCACACCGGTGGGTGCCGCCCTGGTGGGGGGCGGGCGGTGCTGGGGCGGGGGGGTCAGCACCTCACGCCACTCTCGTCCCCAGGACGCCGCTGCGAGTCGGTCATCAATGGCTGCAAAGACAGGCCCTGCAAGAACGGGGGCAGCTGTGCGGTGGCCTCCAACACGGCCCGCGGGTTCATCTGCAAATGCCCGGCGGTAGGTGCCATGGGCAGCAGGTGGTGGTGGGGAGGGCTCCTGGTCTGAAGGGGGCAGGAGGACACCGCCGCTCAACACGCCTAGTGCCCTGGGTGGCCAGAACCCCCCCGCCTCGCCCCCCCACCCCCAGCCTGTGCGTGAGCTGGAGGGTACAAGGTGGCTTGTGTGTCTGGACCCCACCCTCCTCGTTTCCCTTGAGACAGTGTTTCTTGTGTCTTTCTGTTCAGCGGTTTAGTAGAAAATTGGTGTAGGAGAGCTCCTGTGTGCCCCCTCCCCCACACACCCAGTTTTCCTGTATCAACATCTGGCTCGCCTCTAGGCTTCCCTGGTGGCCAGACAGTAAAGAGTCTGCCTACGGTGCGGGAGACCTGGGTTCGGTCCCTGGGTCTGGAAGATCCCCTGGAGAAGGGAATGGCTACCCACTCCAGTACTCTTGCCTGGAAAATCCCATGGACAGGGGAGCCTGGTGGGCTACAGTCCATGGGGGTCGCAAAGAGTCGGACATGACTGAGCGCCTTCACTTTCACTTTCTTTTGCGTGTGGGGAACACTGTTACCATTAACGACCAACATTAGTATGCTGCTACGTGATCTATACACCCACACGTTAAGTCCAGCCTCCTCCATGTCGTGTGTTCCTCGGGTCTGACACACACGCGTTGCCATGAGACCCCTGTTGCAGGATCCCAGGGGGTCATCCGTTTGCCCTAAAAGTGCCCCAGGCTCCTACTGTGCCCTTCCCTCCCAACTCCTGGGAACCCCCCCAACCCCCGAGCGTTTCATGTGGACTTTCTTTGACAGGAAAGGCCGCCAGCCCTTGTGGGTGGGTGGGGGGTGCGGGGGCGCGGCCGGGTGGGTCGCCAGCGCCTAGGGGGCCCGCCCACCCCTCACGCCTGCGCGGCCCCTCCTGGCAGGGCTTCGAGGGCGCCACGTGTGAGAACGACGCCCGCAGCTGCGGGAGCCTGCGGTGCCTGAACGGCGGCACGTGCATCGCGGGCCCGCGCAGCCCCACCTGCCTGTGCCTGGGCCCCTTCACCGGCCCCGAGTGCCGGTTCCCAGCCAGCAGCCCCTGCGTGGGCGGCAGCCCCTGCTACAACCAGGGCGTCTGCGAGCCCACCGCCGAGAGCCCCTTCTACCGCTGCCGCTGCCCCGCCAAGTTCAACGGGCTCCGGTGCCACATCCTGGACTACAGCTTTGGGGGCGGCGTGGGCCTCGACATCCCCCCGCCGCAGGTCGAAGAGGCCTGCGAGCTCCCCGGCTGCCGCGAGGAGGCCGGCAACAAGGTCTGCAGCCTGCAGTGCAACAACCACGCGTGCGGCTGGGACGGCGGCGACTGCTCCCTCAACTTTGACGACCCCTGGCAGAACTGCACGCAGTCCCTGCAGTGCTGGAAGTACTTCGGCAACGGCCGCTGCGACAGCCAGTGCAACTCGGCCGGCTGCCTCTTCGACGGCTTCGACTGCCAGCGCGCGGAAGGCCAGTGCAAGTAAGGCCCTCGGGACGCCACTCAGCGGGGCTGGTGCGGGGTGGGCGAGGGGGGCCGTCCGCTCACCAGCAGGAGCGGAGCAGGTGGGAGAAGGACCGCGGGCTTCGCGGGCAGGATAGCGCACAGCCAGCCGGGTGCCGGCCGAGGGTCTCTGGGTGGACGGGGGCGGGCGTGGCCCCAGGGGACCCAGGCGCGGAGGGAGCCCTGAGCTGGTGCCGTGTGCCCGCAGCCCCCTGTACGACCAGTACTGCAAGGACCACTTCAGGGACGGGCACTGCGACCAGGGCTGCAACAGCGCGGAGTGCGAGTGGGACGGGCTGGACTGCGCGGAGCACGTGCCCGAGCGGCTGGCGGCCGGCACGCTGGTGCTGGTGGTGCTCATGCCGCCGGAGCAGCTGCGCAACCGCTCCTTGCACTTCTTGCGCGAGCTCAGCCGCCTGCTGCACACCAACGTGGTCTTCAAGCGCGACGCCAGCGGCCAGCAGATGATCTTCCCCTACTACGGCCGCGAGGAGGAGCTGCACAAGCACCCCATCAGGCGCTCCGTGGATGGCGGGGCCCCGCTGCTCCCGGGCGGCGGGGGCAGACGCCGGCGCAGGGAGCTGGACCCCATGGACATCCGCGGGTGAGCGAGCCCCTGCCGGCAGCCTGCACGCCCTGACCCTCAGGGTTGCGCCTCCCAGAGAGGGCAGCGCTGTCCTCCCGAGATGGGGAAAGGGACCTGGGATTTCAGCTCCCATGACGGGCGAGCGGCAGAGACAGCATTCCTGCTCGGGCTCAGCTCTCAGGGAGGGGAGGGACTGGGCTCTGGACACCTCCGTCCTCCCGAGATGGGGACCAAGGCTACCCGCGGCTCTGCAGAAGCCCCACGGTCCGCGGGGCAGCACCCCAAGGAGTGCTCGTGTGAGCACCACACGTGCCCTGCTGGTGCTGGACATGGCAGGCCCTCAGGGCCACTGTGCACCTCCAGGCTTGTTCCTGTCCGGACCCAGCTCTCTGCCTCCCCAGGCTGGCCCCTGGGGTTCTGGGAGCACCCTCTCTCCCTGCCCATCCATCAGGGTGACACTACAGGAGCCAGAGCTGGTCCCTGGGGGCGGGCTGGCCGGGTGGGCACTGGGAGGAGCCAGGGCCCAAGCCCCCTGACCTATGCTCACCCCCACCCAGGTCCATCGTCTACCTGGAGATTGACAACCGGCAGTGCGTCCAGTCATCCTCCCAGTGCTTCCAGAGCGCCACGGATGTGGCCGCCTTCCTGGGTGCGCTGGCCTCGCTGGGCAGCCTCAACATACCCTACAAGATCGAGGCCGTGCAGAGTGAGTAGCTGGCCCTGCTCCCCAAGCTGTGCTCTTGCCGGAGCTCTGGATTGTCCTTGAGGGGGTATGCGTGGGAGGCGGTCTACCAGCTCCCCGCCCCCACCCCGGGGATGCTCTTGTTCTTCAAGCCAGTTGCCACCCACAGGGGCGTGTGTCACGCCATCCAGAGTTTGGGGAGCGCTTTTCTGGGGTTTCCCACCGGGCACGCTCTCCCTCCCGAAGCAACAGCTGTCAGCGTGGCTGACCCAGGGGAGTCTGCACATCTGCCCGCAAGGTGGGGGGAGACTTTTCTCGCCCCACCCATTCCTCCCGATTTTTCTTTGTTGGGTATTATTTCAAAATCATTATGGCTTTTTTTTTTTTTTAAGAAAAAAAAAAGAGAGAAAGCAAAGAATTGATCGATGTCATGTGAAGTGTTGAAGTTTGTATCTGGAAAATCCCCCTAAATCCTTTGTCTTAACAGCTCAATGCGAGTGCAGCGATTTGAAGTTGCCTAATCCTTCTCCCTTAAAGGAGAAAAAAGTGAAAGCTGTCTCCAGATAGCCGGCTGGTGCAGGAGAGAATTTAGCGATAGTTTGCAATTCTGATTAATCGCGTAGAAAATGACCTTCTTTTGGGGGGCGGGATGGAGGCGAGCGGGCGAGGAGGCGCCGGGCCGCGGAGCCAGCGCGCTGCCCCCGGCCGCCGGCCTGCCTGGCTGCGCGGCCTGATGTCCGGGCGGCCGCCCGCGGCCGCTGTGCCCGCAGGTGAGACGGTGGAGCCGCCCCCGCCCCCGCCGCTGCACTTCATGTACGTGGCCGTGGTGGCCTTCGTGCTGCTCTTCTTCGTGGGCTGCGGGGTGCTGCTGTCGCGGAAGCGCCGGCGGCAGCATGGCCAGCTCTGGTTCCCCGAGGGCTTCAAGGTGTCGGAGGCCAGCAAGAAGAAGCGGCGTGAGCCCCTCGGCGAGGACTCCGTGGGCCTCAAGTCAGTGGGCGCGGCGGCCGCCGGGTCGGGGGGCGGGCTTGCGGGGGGCGGGGCTGCCCGCGGCCCCCTCCTCGGGCCCCGGGCGTGCGCAGGGCCTGGGAGGGGCGGGGACTCTCCCTGGGCCCCCGCCCCGCGCTTAGGCCCCCCGCCCCCCGGCTCCGCCACCCCCAGGCCGCTGAAGCACTCCTCGGACGGCGCCCTCATGGACGACAACCAGAACGAGTGGGGCGATGAGGGCCTGGAGGCCAAGAAGTTCCGGGTGAGTCGGGGCTCCAGGGCCCGCGCCCCGCCCCGCCCCGCCCCGCAGGGCCTGACCCTCTGCTCCACCCGCTTCCTTAGTTCGAGGAGCCCGTGGCCCTCCCCGACCTGGACGACCAGACAGACCACCGGCAGTGGACTCAGCAGCATCTGGACGCCGCCGACCTGCGCGTGTCTGCCATGGCCCCCACGCCTCCCCAGGGCGAGGCCGATGCCGACTGCCTGGACGTGAACGTCCGCGGGCCGGGTAGGTGCGCTGGCCAGACACGGCTGCCCCCAACCCGGGGCTCCACCCCCAGGCGCCTGGTGTCTGGGCAGCCCGTGCTTCCCTGCCCTCGTGACCCGCCCGCCTCTCTGTCCCAAGCCTCAGGGACGGTACCTGAAAACGCCCGCACCTCAGAGGCGGGTGAGGACCCCCAGGAGTTGCTCGGCCTCCTGGCTGCCTCCCCTCTCGGAGAGCCGGCCTCAAAGCGCGCTCTGCCCTCAGAGTTGACTTCTTTCAAAATGCGTCTTTTGAGACACCCAGAGTGCCAGTTAGCTTACCTCCTCTGTCTCCTGGACGGGACCATGGGTGAAGGTCTCGGGCAGGGCAGGAAGCGGAGCCTACCTGCTACCTGGCAGCTGGACTTGGTTCTACCCTCGGGGAGCTTGGACAGATTGCGTTGGCGCTGGGCAGTGTGGCCGTGTGCACTGGGCCTCTGTGGGCCCCGTGTCCACAGGGTCGCGCCCCCGCTGAGGCCTGTTCCCCCCGGGAGCAGCTGCCAGGGCCAGCCTTCCTGACCTGGCCCCGTCCCTGTCCTGCCCGCCCCCTGCAGACGGCTTCACGCCCCTCATGATCGCCTCCTGCAGCGGAGGGGGCCTCGAGACAGGCAACAGCGAGGAAGAGGAGGACGCGCCTGCGGTCATCGCGGACTTCATCTACCAGGGCGCCAGCCTGCACAACCAGACAGACCGCACCGGCGAGACCGCCCTGCACCTGGCCGCCCGCTACTCACGCTCCGACGCAGCCAAGCGCCTGCTGGAGGCCAGTGCGGACGCCAACATACAGGACAACATGGGCCGCACCCCGCTGCATGCGGCCGTGTCTGCCGACGCGCAGGGCGTCTTCCAGGTGGGCAGCCACTCACGTGCCGTTCTGCGCACCCTCGCCTGCCTTCCCTCCTTCCTGGTCTGGCCTCAGAGCCCTGATTCCACGCCTGGCCAGAGCAGGGGCAGTTGGGATTCCCCCCCCCACCCCGAACCTTTGCATCCTGGGGCGTGAGGCCAGGGAGGGTATCAAATCCCCTGTGTCGTCCCCTCGGGGCAGCCAGGCTGGTGGCACCACAGCAGGAGAGGCCCCAGGGGCCTGCAGGGGCCGGGCCTCCTCACCCTCACCCAAGACAGGCCCCTCCCCTGCACCTGCCTCTCCCGGCCCCCACGCCCTCACTGCTTTGGCTGGAGGCATCGATTGCCTCTGGATGTGGGGAGAAGGGCTAGAGGCTGCTGCTTGCTGCCTGCAAGCGGCAGTGGTGGGGAGGGGGCCTCTGGCCTTGCTGGGCTTCCAGGATGAGGATGGATTAGGGATGTGGGTGCCTGGGTCTCTGGGGAGCATCCCTGGCGGAAGCAGCTTTTGAAAGCTGCCAGCCCGTCCGCCGGGCACAAACCCCCAGGCCCCAGGCCATGCTGCTCTGCACAGACAGGCAGGTAAATGGGGCACAGATGGGGGGTGTCACAAAAGTCTAATGATTTCCGACATGTTGTCTTTTATGGAAATGAGAGATTGGGGACAATTTAAACGAGCCCCTGGAGGCAGGCCCTGGCCACGTTTGCCCGGGCAGTCTCTGTGGCACGTAGAGACATTCCATTGGGCGCTTCTCGGGGTGAGGCCAGTCCCCACACGGCTCTTCCCCAGCTCCTTTCATCCCCCCTCCCGCCCCCGAAACAGTGACCATCCTTCTCTCTCGTGCTCTGGCCCCACGGCTCCAGCAGCGCCTGGTGGAGTTCTGCCCACTCCCCGGGCTCCCACGCCACGTGTGCTCAGGCTCCCTGGGGCCGTCTGACCCCAGAGGGCTGCATCCGCGTCAGGGTTTGGGTCCCACGCACGCGTCCCGGAGCAGGCAGGGGCCTCGCGCTCACACTTGCTGAGCCCGAGACCTTCCTTGTGGTCCAGATCCTGATCCGGAACCGAGCCACCGACCTGGATGCCCGCATGCACGACGGCACGACCCCGCTGATCCTGGCTGCCCGCCTGGCCGTGGAGGGCATGCTGGAGGACCTCATCAACTCCCACGCCGACGTCAATGCTGTGGACGACCTGGGTGAGCCCAGCTGGGCCGGTCCGAGGGAGGGGGCACGCCATGGCCGCCTGCCGACCCCTGACCTATCTGCCGACCCCTGACCCACCCTTTGCTCCCTTCATAGGCAAGTCCGCCCTGCACTGGGCGGCCGCGGTGAACAACGTGGAGGCCGCTGTCGTGCTGCTGAAGAACGGGGCCAACAAGGACATGCAGAACAACAAGGTGGGCTGGCTGGCGAGATACTTCCCCTCTCCCACTCCTTTCCATCTGGGGGACCCCGAGCCATGACTTCAGCTTTGGGCCTTGGCTCCTTAACCCATAAAGTCCCAGGAGAAGCCCCGGGGAAACAGAGACATGGACCCTGTAGTGGGTTCCCTTGTGGTCAGCGCTCCCTGCCTCCATCTGGCCACATTACCAGTCCCCTACCGGGCCCAGGGCACCGGCAGCTGCAGCTTTCCCCCCCATGTCACTGTGACCTGCGACGTCACCTCTGTTCTTGGCTGTCACTGGCCGGGGCAGGTTGACTGAGATGGTGCATGCTGGGCCAAGAGGCTGGTGGGCGGGGTGGGGGGGTTCTGCATTGCAAGGCCCCCAGATGGAACGGTGAGTGGCCACCTTCCACACGTGGACCACCTCTGGTCTCTCTCAGCCTCGCCGCGGTCTGTCCCGACAGTCTGAGTATGCTCTTTCCTTCCTGCCCAGCCCCAGCCTGGCCCTGCATCTCCTGAGCTTGTCTTTGGGCTCCTGTGTCCCCGGACCTGCCCCTTCCTTCACAGACCCTTGAAGGGATCTCCTGTCCTGGGGGAGGGGTATGGGGGGTGCTGTTGGGCCCGGTCACTCCTGAGGCTGCCATGGGGCAGAGGCATCATCCTGCCTCCTGCTGGGGAGATAGGCAGCAGGGACCGCCGTGGCGGGGCGGCAGCTGTGGCCAAGGCCATGTGTGTGCCAGGCAGACACCGTCCGGCCTCACCCCACACAGCAGTCTCAGGGGGCATACACTGCATTCCCGCTGTACTGATGAGAAAACCACGCCCTGGGGACAGAGCTAAGACATCAGGGTTTCTTGGGGACCAACTGGTGCCCACGGACACACTTTACTGACCCCGAATCGTGGCAGGGTCTCCATCCGTGTGGTTTTGAAGGAGGGAGGCACAGTCTGTTAGATTTCCTGTGGGGTCTCTGACCCTGTGAAGGTGGAGCCCCACTGGTTTAGAATGTAGAACCCCACAGGTCTTCCGGGTGGGTCTTAGAAGATGCACCTAAGGCATTTTTGTCTGTAAGACGTAATAGTGATGGTAGGACCCTAGGGGGAGGGTTGAGATGAGTGGGGCGGAGGCGGGGCTGACCGCTGGTCCCTCTGATGACCGGTGACCCCTGCACCTGCCCCCGTCTGCTCCCCCCAGGAGGAGACGCCATTGTTCCTGGCCGCCCGGGAGGGCAGCTACGAGACAGCCAAGGTGCTGCTGGACCATTTTGCCAACCGGGACATCACGGACCACATGGACCGCCTGCCTCGCGACATCGCGCAGGAGCGCATGCACCACGACATTGTGCGGCTGCTGGACGAGTACAGCCTGGTGCGCAGCCCCCCGCTGCACGGCGCCCCCCTCGGCGGCGCGCCCACCCTGTCGCCCCCGCTCTGCTCACCCAACGGCTACCTGGGCAACCTCAAGCCCCCCATGCAGGGCAAGAAGGCCCGCAAGCCCAGCACCAAGGGCTTGGCCTGCGGCGGCAAGGAGCCCAAGGACCTCAAGGCTCGGAGGAAGAAGTCCCAAGACGGCAAGGGCTGCCTGCTGGACAGCGGGAGTGTGCTTTCGCCCGTGGACTCCCTCGAGTCCCCCCACGGCTACCTGTCAGACGTGGCCTCCCCGCCCCTCCTGCCCTCCCCTTTCCAGCCGTCTCCCTCCGTGCCCCTCAACCACCTGCCCGGGATGCCCGAGGCCCACCTGGGCGTCGGCCACCTGAGTGTGGCAGCCAAGCCCGAGATGGCGGCGCTGAGTGGGGGCGGCCGGCTGGCCTTCGAGGCAGGGCCACCACACCTCTCCCACCTGCCTGTGGCCTCCGGCACCAGCAGCATCCTGGGTGCCGGCGGCAGTGGGGGCGGTGGGGCTGTGAATTTCACCGTGGGTGGAGCCGCGGGCTTGAATGGCCAATGCGAGTGGCTGTCCCGGCTGCAGAACGGCCTAGTGCCCAACCAGTACAACCCGCTGCGAGGGGGCGTGACGCCGGGCACCCTGAGCACACAGGCTGCCGGCCTGCAGCATGGCACGGTGGGCTCGCTGCACGCCCCCGCCCTGTCCCAGGTGATGAGCTACCAGGCCCTGCCCAGCACGCGGCTGGCCTCCCAGCCTCACCTAGTGCAGACGCAGCAGCTGCAGCCGCAGCAGAACTTACAGATGCAGCCGCCGAGCATGCCACCGCAGCCAAACCTGCAGCCGCAGCCGCCGCAGCCACACCTCGGCGTGAGCTCAGCCGCCAGTGGCCACCTGGGCCGGAGCTTCCTGGGAGGGGAGCTGAGCCAGGCGGACATGCAGCCGCTGGGGCCTGCCAACCTGGCGGCACACACCGTCCTGCCGCAGGAAGGCCAGGTCCTGCCCACATCGCTGCCGTCCACACTGGCCCCACCCATGACCACTGCCCAGTTCCTGACGCCCCCCTCCCAGCACAGCTACTCCTCCTCCCCTGTGGACAACACCCCCAGCCACCAGTTGCAGGTGCCCGAGCACCCCTTCCTCACCCCGTCCCCCGAGTCCCCCGACCAGTGGTCCAGCTCCTCGCCACATTCCAACATCTCCGATTGGTCCGAGGGCATCTCCAGCCCGCCCACCAGCGTGCCGTCCCAAATCGCCCACGTCCCAGAGGCGTTCAAGTAAACAGCCGGCTGCCCCCAGGACCCTGCGCTTCCTTTCCCAAGCCCTGCTGGGGTGTGTGCGTGCGCTCCATGGATGCTGGGGCTGACCAAAGGAGCTTTTTTTCAACAAATGTGTTTTTATACAAAATAAGAGGACAAGGATTTTTAATTTTTTTTTTAGTATTTATTTATGTACTTTTATTTTACATGGAAACACTGCCTTTTTATTTATATGTACTGTTTTGTATGGCATCAGGTAGAAACTTTTATCTGCTCCAAGAAAATAAACTAGTTCTCAGTCATGATTTTCCTACTTAGGATAAAGAGTCCTAGGTATTTGTAAAATATAAACAAAGATTCATGATGTGCAAATGCCATTTATTTATTGATTTCCTCTTTTTTGAATCCTGAAAGAAATGATGTCAGACAAGGGCGGTTTGAGCCAGCATTGTTTAGAAAGCTCCAGGGGTGCCCGGGGGCCTGCTTTGATTTCCCCAGACATCCCCTCACCCCCACCTCCAAACCTGGACCTCCCTCCTCCCAGGACCGCCTGCATCTCATGAAAAGATGCATCTAGAGAAAGAAAAGCAAGCCCTTTACTCTTTTGGCACGTGGGTTACTTGTACCTGAAGTAGGAAAGTAAAGTGTAAAATGATGTGGTTCGGTGTACTGTTAAACTTTTTAAAGATATGTCTCTCAAAACGTGTTCTTGGGGTATGCCAAGGGTACATTTCATGGTACCAATCATGAATCTTTGTTGCAGGTTCAGTATTACGTAGTTGTTCTTTGGTATTGTGAGTTCTTGTTCTTTCTGGAGGCTCCCCTGCCCCTCGCCCCCGCTGATGTTTAAGCATCATGTAAGAAGTTGGCGGTGTGGCCATGTGGTACCCACCTTGGACCCCACGTTGGGGAGGCCTCCCCCTTCCTGGGGAAAGACACTGCTGGGCTGCCCTGTTGGAGGCATCTCAACTTGAACTGCATCTCCCAGGTTCAGTGGAAGATGAACTGGCGCCCCTGGGGCCCAGTGCTGACGGGCCCAGTTTTTATAGAAGACTTGGAAAAACGTGGGCGCGTCCAGCCTCAGTGCTCAGAGACCCTGGTGCCAGGGCCTGGAGCACCCTGGGGTGCTCGGGTCACCAGGAGCCTGCTCGCGGGCCACCCCTTCCAGTTTAAGGGGTGGGTGTGCGGGGTAGAGCAGATTTTGACATTATCAAGTATAAGCCTGTGGCAGATACATATCTGTAAATACATTTTTAAAGGGTGATTTTGTTTAAGAAATCTGATTGAAGTAATCTGTCAGGGTCGTGCTGATAAGGGATGTCAGAACCCAGGCCCCACGACCTGCAGCTACCGAACCGTAGCTCCTGAGAGCAAAGCCGGGGGGTCCCGCCACCCACCGCACTGAGTCTGCTGCCCCGGCCTCGCTGGGCGTGCTGTGGGGCCACCCCTCGTGGGCACGATCAGACTCTTCCTAAGACGTGGCTTTTTGTGTTTTATAAGATAGAGTGTAGTTTACATAAAAAGAAAACTTTTTTAAAAAGTTATCTACCTACAAAACTGTAGGTGATGAAAATGATGTATTTTTTTTCATCTTTTTTGTTAACAGATTTGCAATAAAAATGATTCTGATGGTCGTCCAGATTTTGCTAAACTCGACTGTGGTCCTGGCTTGCTTTCTGAGAGGGAGGGAGACCAATAGAGAGAGAACACCAGCCCTAACCCTGGGTGCCAGGGTCACTTTGCTGGGTCAGGTATCCAGTGTCCCATCTACCCTGCCAGGCCCTGTGAAGTGGGGCAGAGACCCCATAGGGAGCAGGGCACACACAACCCCAAAACCAGGCTCTGGGCCGTCTTTCAACTGTCTGGGTCATGGAGAGCGAGGCCCCGCTTACTAGCCGGGGGGCCACTGCAGGCAGAAGGGGCACAGGGGGGAGTCCAGACCCCGGCGTGGGGCAGAGAGAGCCGCAGGAACATCTGAGCAAGGGCGCCTTGGTTGGCGGGGGTGGTGAGTGGGGTAAGTTCTGCGACCCCCAGACGGCGCAGGCTGGGCAGAACCCCTGTCTCAGGAATCCCGAACTGGGCCATCAGGCACAGGGTTCGGACCTCCCTCCTCCCTCCTCCCCAAGCCCTCTTCCCTACGCCTTCTCTACCTGCCCCGCCCCTGCTCTGCTTGGCCCCGCCCCTACCCCGTGTCTGACTCCGCCTGCCCCCGCCCCCTCTCTGCCTGCCCCCGCCCCTTCTCCGCCTGCCCCGCCCCCTCTCTGCCTGGCCCCGCCCCTACCCCCGTGTCTGACTCCGCCTGCCCCCGCCCCTTCTCTACCTGACCCCGCCCCTTCTCCGCCTGGCCCCGCCCCTACCCCCGTGTCTGACTCCGCCTGCCCCCGCCCCTTCTCTGCCTGACCCCGCCCCTTCTCCGCCTGGCCCCGCCCCCTCTCTGCCTGGCCCCGCCCCTACCCCCCCCGTGTCTGACTCCGCCTGCCCCCGCCCCTTCTCTGCCTGACCCCGCCCCTTCTCTGCTTGGCCCCGCCCCTGCCCCGGCTCTATCTGACTCCGCCTGCCCCCGCCCCTTCTCTGCCTGCCCCCGCCCCTTCTCCGCCTGCCCCGCCCCCTCTCTGCCTGGCCCCGCCCCTACCCCCGTGTCTGACTCCGCCTGCCCCCGCCCCTTCTCTGCCTGACCCCGCCCCTTCTCTGCCTGGCCCCGCCCCTGCCCCCGTGTCTATCTGACTCCGCCCCTTCTCCACTGAACCTCACCCCTTCTCTACTTGGCTCCACTTCTCCTCTACCTGGCTCCTCCCTTTCTCTACCTGGTCCCGCCCCCACCCCAGTGTCTTCAAAACAGGTTAACACTCCGCTGACCTTTTGAACTGTGGTATTGGAGAAGACTCTTGAGAGTCCCTTGGACAACAAGGAGAGCCAAACAGTCCATCCTAAAGGGGATCAGTTCTGGGTGTTCATTGGAAGGACTGATGCTGAAGCTGAAACTCCAATACTTTGGCCACCTGATGCAAAGAGCTGACTCATTGGAAAAAGACCCTGATGCTGGGAAAGATTGAAGGTGGGCGGAGAAGGGGACGACAGAGGACGAGATAGTTGGATGGCATCACCAACTCGATGGACATGAGTCTGAGTAAACTCCGGGAGTTGGTGATGGACAGGGAGGCCTGGTGTGCTGCGGTTCATGGGGTCACAAAGAGTCGGACACGACTGAGCAACTGAACTGGACTGAACTGACCACCTTCCACTGCAAAGTGCCACCTGTCCCTGGCGTGGCCCATCGGGGCACAAGGGTGAACCCAAGATTTCCTCACTGAGTGCAGATGCTTCGTTTCTGGGACAAGAGGTACTGGGAAATGGAATATGGCAAATGGCTGAACTTTCATCTTGGAGGGGGCACTCAGCCTGAATTCTGCCCAAAGAACTCCCAGCACCCCTAAATTACACTCCTAGGTGTACACCCAAGAGAAGTGAAAACAGGCTCTAGATCAGTCCATCTAAACCTGTGCTCACAGCAGCCAAGAGGTGGGAACAACCCAAATGTCCATCAGCTGACAACTGGTGATCCAAGTGGGATAGGTCCACACTGTGATGGCTAATTTTATGTGTCAGCATGGCTGGCGGTAGGGGGGTGGGGGTGGTGCAGATTTGGCCACACATGAGGGACGAGATTAGCATTGCAATCTGGGCTGAGTAAAGCAGATGCCCCCTCCCCTGCCCCCATGCATGTGGGTCTCACCCAATCAGGTGAAGAAGATACGAATAGAACAGAAAGGCCGAGGAAGAGGGACGTCCGGCCGCCTGACTACTGGAGCTGGGGTATCTGTCTCTTCCTGCCTTTGGAGTCTCCATAATCATATGAGTCAGTTCCTTGTAATAAATTTCTTTATGTATTGATACATCCTGTTGAGAGTTGGACCATAAACAAGGCTGAGCACCCAAGAATTGATGCTTTCAAGTTGTGGTGCTGGAGAACATTCTCCAGAGTCCCTTGGACAGCAAGGAGATCAAACCAGTCCATCCTAAAGGAAATCAACCCTGAATACTCATTGAAAGGACTAATGCTGAAGCTGAAGCTCCAATACTTTGGCCACCTGATGCAAATAGTTGACTCACTGGGAAAAGACACCAATGCTGGGAAAGATTGAAGACAGAAGGAGAAGGGGACGACAGAGGATGGAATGGTTGGATAGTATCACTGACTCAATGGACACAAACTTGTGCAAACTCTTGGAGATAAGTGAAGGACAGGGAAACCTGGCGTGCTGCAGTCCATAGGGTTGCAAAGAGTTGGACACGACTGGGCGATTGAACAAGAGCAGCAGCATCCTGTTGGCTCTGTTTCTCTGGAGAACCAGACTAAACACACACGCGATGGACTGTTGTGTGTGTGTTAGCTGCTCAGTCGTGTCTGACTCTTTGAGACCGCATGGACTGTAGCCCACCAGGCTCCTCTGTCCATAGAATTCTCCAGGCAAGGATACTGGAGTGGTTTGCCATTTCCTCCTTCAGGATGGACTATTATTCAACCATAAAAAGGAATGAAGTTACCAACACCAGCTACAGCTCAGTCAAAATGCAGAAAGATCACGCTGAGTGAAAGAAGCCAGATACCAAAGGCTGTGTGATTTCATTTGTATGAAACTTTCAGAGTAGATAAACCCAGAGAGGCAGAAAGCAGATGAATGGTTCCCAGGGCTGGGAGCAGTGGGCAATCGGCAGTGAATGCCCAGTGGGTCTGGGGCATTACTTCAGGTGATGAAATGTCTTGGAACTTGACAGAGGTGGTAGTTGTGCATTTTTAATATGTTAAATGCCATTAAATTTGCTATAAAATGGTTAATTTCATGCTCTATGAATTTTACCTCAATTATTTTTTTTAAAGAAAGAATTCCTAGCAGTGTTTGTACTCCCAAGAAGTTCCTGGTGGTTGTGGGATTCCCACAGAGGCAGCAGGACGGGCCTCAAGGAGCACCTCATTGCTCCCCCAAACCCTTGGGCCCCCAGCAACAAGGAGAACAATGCCAT